AATATTACCCAGAAACATTATCAACCCAATGGATTAACCGATTCAGCCGCGTTTTTTCTCGTTTTAATGCCATTGAACAAGTCTTTTGATCAGATTGACAGCTACAGTGAGAGGATCTCCCGTAAAAGCTACGTAAAGGCACTTGTTGTGATGTCTGAGTTTGCTTCCCCTGTCGCGAGTTCGGATCACTTAGTGATGATATATATATCTAAATAATCTCAGGGTATATGCAGGAATCCTGAAGTCAAATTGAATACCTTTTAAGACCTTTTTCAAGACCCTCTCCATACATTTTAAGACCTCATCGCCACTTCGAGTTCTAACCGGTTACATTGGCGACACACTTTACCTCACATGTACTATATACAGTATTGATTGTAAGATAGCACAACTAAACAGTTTGTGATGACTCCTTATCATAATTCAGATAGAACAAAGCACAAGAGAATGAATTGTGTGACCAACCCAATGCAAGGTTTATTAGAAAAAGAAACCATTAGAAAGTAGTAGCCATTGTTAGGCATTGTTCCCAAGAGATAAAACAGACAGACTACTGAAGCCTCCTTTCCACATGAACTTCAACCTCTCTGTGAAGGTCAGGTTTAATGCAGTATGCTGCTTTGTTGCTTCTGTAGACTCTGTGCTCTTTCATTCCAGTAAAACTCCTCAGAAACCATTAAAAATCCGTATTTGACCAATAAACAAAACAATTGACAAAACTTTGAACTATGAAATATATTAAACTTTGGTGAGCTTCAGCGGGGTAATGCCATATAGGAGCTCCATCACAAATACCCAGGGGTTAAATTGGGCCGGGCTGTCCGGGGCTAAGCCCTGGCACATAGGACGATGCTCTGACGTCATCACCCTCACACATTTGTCATATGTTTACAAAAAAGATATATATGTTAAGACTTTTCTCGTTCTTAATATAGACTATATTTAGGGTCTATATGTGTTGACTTTACTTTAAAATAGCAGATCTCTGTGACCGGATATAGTTTGGCTTTGAACATGTGTCTCTTACCGTACCGCAGCATCAGGACTAAAATCACCAGATTCAGGGACAGTCATAAGGCTATTAAACACCTGAGCTTGCACTATTTTAATTTATTGCATAATTTTTTATCAAATGTATGTCTTGTAATTGCACTGTTGAGGGACCTGTGATCCAAGTTTTTCATTCATTGCACAACTACACTGTAGTTGTGTATGACACGACAATAAATCTTTGAATCTTGATAAGAGCTGTTCGAATTCTCTAGTCTAGATAAAGGAAACCTCCTTTATAGCCTCCTTTAGCTTAGGAAACACTGGACTTTCCTTTACAAAGGGAAAGGACAAAATGCTGTCCCACAATACCTAGCAGCCGCAACATTTACCAGGACATAACATTGGGCCGTTCACTGAATCAACAGATCGTGAGCGAGGAATGCGAATCATGAAGGTTACGGTGCTTATTAAGCAATTTAAAAGGTCCCCTATTGTGCGAAATGCAGCAGACTCACAAAGTGTCAGCAAATAAAACCCTCTCTCTTGTCCTCCTTACCCACATCTCTAAAAACGGGGGAACAACGGAGCTGATCCAGAGTTGATGAGCGCTACTCTTCTTTTTTAAAGCTACGGCCCAGAGTCAGCACTTTACTGTAGTAACAGAGACCTATAATATATGCTTAAAAATTGTTTAATAGGAGACCTTTAAAACTTATACCGTAACTTGACAAAGTGCTTTGTTTTAACATTCAACACCATAATAATCAAAAGGAGAAAGGTGAAAGTCACTTTTTTACTGTAAAATGATCAAATAAAGTCAACATTTCACAGTGTTTACTGAGCTGTGTGGGGTTTTTTAAAGTTTTAAACATGTTTGAATGGTGATATACACAGTGATAGATGTTAAGGCCTAACAAGTTTATAATAAATACAATTGTATATTTTTTTTAAATATGTTTTACCATAAGAGCGCACGGTGCAAAGTATCCACAGTAGATGGGCTTACAGTAGTCTGCTGTACAGAGAACTGTAGTTTCCCCTCAGCAGACGCACATTAATAACATCCGATAAGATGAGCCCTGCTCTTACCTGTCGACCCCGGCTACCATGAGCAGCTGTTTGAACTGCTGAGGACTCTGGGGCAGCGAGTAGAAGCGGCCCGGCTCTCTGGACGGAACCACAAACTCTTTGGCTCCCTGAAACACAAGACCATGATCAGAGTGTGGCCTTCACATGTTTCTGAGGGAAGCAGAACATACAAGTCATCTCTTTCTATAATGAATCATTCTCAGATGCTTCGACTGTTTGATGGGCAAAGTGAGTTGAATTCTGTGCGGGAATATTTAAATAATGAAGGATCTTCTTACCCCTGGTGTTCTCTTAAACAAGGTGGGAGTTTCCACATCCACAAAACCTACAATGAGAAGAATAAAAGAGACAGCTATAAAGTCCATGCATCTGAGAGAAAACCCAGAAAAAACCCTACACTAAAGTACAGAACAGCTTCTATTAATCACAGTCCTCTCATTTCAGTCTGATCAGGGACCGTATGCTGAAGTGTAAGAGTGTGTGTGTGTGTGTGTGTGTGTGTGTGTGTGTGTGTGTGTGTGTGTGTGTGTGTGTGTGTGTGTGTGTGTGTGTGTGTGTGTGTGTGAACTGGATTACATTATCAGGAAATGATGTAACTTCTACTTTTATCTTTAATATTTGTATGCATGCTTCTTAATTAATATGAAGCTCTTTACTTGCTGTAACACCTTTACATAGTATCAATACAAGTATCCTGATTCTGATTCATTTGTTCTTTTTTTTATTCACTTATAAATTCATACAATAGAGTGCGTGAGTTTAACGGTGTGTATTAAACAAAAACAGAGCATTTTCTGTCTGATTGTATTCCTGCTTTGTTAAACTGTAGTATGTGCTCATGTGTTTCATCGGGATGTATTGCTGCCTGAATATGCTTCATGAAAGGCAGCTTTTCCTCTAAAAGAAATTGTTTCTGATCCTAAATATCTTGGTTTCTTCTTTCCTAAGGTCACATTGTTCTGATGTCTGACCTAAAGCACTTCAGTAAAAAACATCTTAATGATATTTCTTCTCTCTTGGATTCATTTGCACTGCATTTGATATTGAGCTAATCCAAAAGTAACTGAAAGTAATCAGATTACTTTTATATTTTGAAGCTCAGATTAGGTTACCTATTACTTTTCTTAACAGCTAACTAATGACTTCTAAGGTAACCCTCCCGGCCCTGGTCCCGGTGAGGGGATGCTGGTCCTGGCTCTGCTCACCGTGCTGGTTGCAGAGGAACTCCCTCATCCTCATCACCAGCTGGGACCTCAGCCGGAGGTTCCTCTGCATCTCAGACGACCTCAGGTCCAGGTAGCGGTACTTCATCCGCAAAGACTCTGACTTCTGTGCAAAAACACAATCATTCATAATTAATAACAATAATAACATATAATTTAAAATGTGCAAAGTAGTGACTTACTTTGACAGAGTCTTTAATTTCAAAAGGCAACGTGCGGCACACGTTCAGAACCTCCACGCTCTCAGCCAGGACTTCTATCTCTCCTGTCGGCATGCCCTGCTCATATCAAACCAGAGCCAACTTTATTTATACAGCAGTTTCATACACAAAGGTCACTCCAAGTACTTCACAAAGCAAGCACATAGACAATTTACAGTAGATGGGAACTTGAAACTAAATGATCCTGCAGCTATTCAGCGATGACATGCTTGATATGGTTTACGCTGACTTTGCAATGCACTCATATGTTCCAGAGGTGTGGGAACAATACTTTGCCCTCCCGGGTTTTACTACATGATCGTATTGAATGTACAGCTGCTTGAGAACGGCCTCCTACTGATGGTTCAGTAGTTGGAATGGTGGGTGGCTGACCACTGAAGGCATGTCTTTGTGAATCATCTGTCAGCTTCAACATTAGATTTTCTTCTAAAGCGGGCCATGTTTTGTCGCAGCCTTTGAGGTACATTTAAAATGATACATACTTTAAATGTGCTAATAAAGACACATCAAACAATAGATTAAAGTGAAATACAATACACATTATCGTGTGTATTTCAATATAATGTATGTCTTGTGAATTTATATAAAAACTCTTAAAGGGAGGTGTGCAAGGGAGTTGTATTGGCACGTAAGCTTGGCTTGATGATAAGAGGGAGATGTGCGATGATGAATATAACAATCCTATTAAAGTGTACTCAGTTCTGCCACTCTGCTAAACTACAGCCAGCTGCTTGTTAAATACAAAAATTTAAGTTTGTAAATTATTTCCAACATTCTTGAATTTTTTTATTGAACATTGAACTGAAGGGAGAAGGCACCAATAAAAAGAGAAAGATAGTTACATTTTACCATTCCACATTGTCTTTGCTGCTCTCTGCTGGATTCATTCTTATTTAAAAAAGAAATCTAAATATTTGTTATTTAACATATGTTCCCCATGTTAACAGTTATTTGATTTAATTAAGGCGTTTTAAACCTCCCTTTCCATTGTAAGCATTGACGTATTATTGGTTTGGATGCATTGTATAAAGTATGACAGCATATTATTTCAAATGTAAATTACAGTCTGTGGTATATTCATATTTATTGTCGATAGTGTCTGTATTATAATGTCTATTTTCATACCTGATCTATAGTGTATTCAATTTCTTTACTGCTTTTAATAATGTTCATACCTCATTATACTGTAGTGTAAATAAATCAGTTTCTATATATATATATATATATATATATATTATTTATATGATAGCATAAATAACTCTTCTATCTGCTTGTTTTGCACGTCTGGTGAGACGCTAACTGCATTTTGTTGCCTTAGTATTTGTACACTGTTCAATGACAAAGTGGAATCTAATCTGAAGCACTGAGGATAATGTGTGAATGGCAAAGGAACCAGTATCATGTGATTCGAGCCAGCAGTGAACCTACAGCTCTTTAAAGCGAACCCAGGAGGGTCTGCTCCACTCCAGCATCCCCACCCTGACTGATTCAATATCTCATGCCACTCACTAACCGTGTTCTCCTGCCCCCCTGGGCGCCGTCTGACTGTTCCTGTAACCTTGATGACAGACTCCGTTGTGAGATCACACAGCCCCGCTCTCAAATGACTCGCTGACTTAAAACACAGAAGAAAATAAAAAAGAAGTTCAATCTAAATATAATGAGAACTGGAGCAGTAAATCAAATTATTGTTAGTATTATTATAATAGTGTTATTTTCTGTAACAGCATTTAGAGACACTGTATTGTGGTATTTGTTTCCATCCTTACTTCTTCCTGAGGAATGAGGACTTGTGCCAGGCCGCTGAAGTCTCGCAGGATGACAAACAGGTCCTGCCTGTCGGAGGCAGAAACTGTTTTTAAATATTTATTAGAGAAAAAAGTCTGGATAGTGCTGGGAACTTTGCTCCCCAAAACACAACTGTCAGGTTGTGATATAAATGTATCTACACAGGTTATAGTTGTGCAGCTCGACCGGAAAGGTAAAGCCAGTAACATGTATTACTGACACACAGCACCTGTCCTGAAGACCAACATATGGCTGAAAGATGTGCAGTGTACAGAGTACTGTCATCACAGGTTTTTGGAGCAAGATACGATTGTACAGAAACTCCTAGTCAGGCCTGGGAGTAAAGGATTAAATGAAACATGATTACGTTTCTTCTTTCCTAAGGTCACATTGTTCTGTTGTCTTACAGAATACACCAAGTAAAAAACATCTTATTATATTTACTTTCTCTTTTATATATTTGCATTGTATTTGAGCTAATCCGAGAGTAATGGAAAGTAATCAGGTTAGATTACTTTTATATGTTGATACTCTGAATAGGTTACTGATTACATTTTTGTTTACAGGCAACTAGCAATAGTAATGGATTACATGTTAAAGTAACCCTCCAAACCCTGCTCATGGTCCTAGAGCCTGACTCCTCCTGACTGAGATCAGGGCTCATTTCTCCCCACAGTCTGACATAACGTCCCCCGTTTTCAGTAGGCTTCTTCTTTTGGATTTACTGTCAGATGGTACATGTAAATCCTTTCTCAATTTGGGATGAATAAAGTGTCTATCTATCTGCAGAGTCTCACCTGAGGTACTGGACCCAGCCACACAGCGTGACGCTCCCCCCCACATGATGTGCCCTGAGCTCTCCACAGGCGTGGCTCCTGAGTGACAGACTGTTGGCACCTTGGACAGAAACTGATGTGGATCATGGCGGGACAGTAAAAGTTGATATGATCACATTATGTTATCTTTAATACATTATCATTGTTCAAATGAATGATTCCAAGCACGCTGTAATACAGATAAGTTACAAAACTAAACCGTTATTAATTCATGATTAAGACTAATTATTTTTATAATTTAGCATTAGGGCTGCATGATATTGGTGATTAATACCATTGTGAAATGATGTGATAAAAAATAGCATTTGTGATAAATAGATATTAATAAAGCATGTGGACCATATGACATAAGACTACCATATTATCATATGGTTTGATGTTACATTTGTCTCAGTGGACAGTGTCAAACTCAAGGCCCGGGGGCCAAATCCGGCCCGCGACTTCATTTCATGCGGCCCCACAAGAGCTTGCAAAGAATATCATATGTGTATTATACAGTTACATGCCGCTTTACAGAAGCACATTGCCCATAAACTACATGCCCCACAATGCATCTCAAATTAGACTTTTTTCTTCAGAATTTGGCTTTTCTTTTTAAATCATTTTGTGATATGCACACTGAAGAGACTCGCAATTATTTGCCCTAGACTTCAGCTTTCAGACGTAGCTAATTATGAAGTTATTACCCTATCCGATAATAATCCAATGCAGAGGCAATCATGTAATATAATACATTATTTTATATATATTATATATTTATATATGTATATTTATATAGTCTTGAAGTTACAACCGGCCCTTTGAGTGCAACCATGATGCTGATGTGGCCCGTAATGAAATTGAGTTTGACACCCCTGCCTTAGACCCTCACATCGTAGAGGGAAAAACTTCCAGAGAAAACCCCACAGTTTAAAGGGAAAAATGGAAGAAACCTCAGGGAGAGCAACAGAGGAGGGATCCCTCTCCCAGGACGGACAGACGTGCGATAGATGCCGAAGATAATACATGTACAACATAACATTTTG